CCCCCCCCCGCACCAGCCCGCCCGCTTCGCTTCTCCTACCCCCGGGCTCAGCGTCCCTCGCTCCTCCCCCAGGCTCCGACGAGGTGCAGGTGGGACAGGAGCGCAGGTTCATCAGCCACATCAAGTGCAGAGAGGCCCTGAAGCTCCAGGAGGGGGCGCACTACCTCATGTGGGGCGTGTCCTCCGACCTGTGGGGGGAGAAACCCAAGTGAGTGGCCCCTCCGGCCCCGCCCCCGCCCACGAGCGTGCGGCGGGCTCCCCACCCGCCCCGCCCCTCCCCTCCGGGCCCCGCCCCTCCTGACTTGCCGCCCCTCCCCAGTATCAGCTACATCATCGGGAAGGACACCTGGGTGGAGCAGTGGCCAGAGGCCGACGAATGCCAGGACGAGGAGAACCAGAAGCAGTGCCAGGACCTGGCCAACTTCACCGAGAACATGGTGGTCTTTGGCTGCCCCAACTGACCCCTACGGTCCCCCCAATAAAGCTTCAGTGGTATTGCATGTGTCTCTCGAAGTCCCTGAGAGAGCTGTCCCACCTGCAACCCGGCCCCACCCTGCGGGGACGCCACCTGGTTCCCACCTCAGGGCTGCTCACCTGCGCCCAGCCTGAGGCACACCCACGGATCCTCACTGCATCCCGCTGAATTTTGGGGCATCCTCCCCTCCCCGCCTACATCTTTATCTGTAAACTTACCGGAATCTGCACCCACACCCACTCTTACCTGTATTCTCAACTGTTCGCCACCTGCCTCCTCCTCACCTGGCTCCATTTGCCCCCCTGAGCAGACTAGCCCACGCCTCTCGGGGACCGAGGGTAGCAGCTGTGCCCGGGAGGGGGCGGTAAGGGGCTGCGGGGCGCTGCTTCCGGCTGGAGCTCCGAGCTTGCAGTGAGGGGAAGGCATGAGTCAGCAGCCCCCAGGGAGTGCGGGGGCCGCCGCGGTCACAGCACCACCAGAAATGCGTGGGGTTGGCAGCCACAGGCCGTCACTGGGGACCCGGGGGCACTGGGGCCCCAGGTACCTCTTCTGACTCAGTCTGCGGACCCTGGAAGATTGTGGAGAGTGGCTCCAAGCTTCCCCCCTGCGGATCAGGTCATCAGGGAAATCGCCTGAGCCTGGAAGTCGCCTCTAAGGAAGCCCCTTTCCCCTAAGACCCCCAAGCCCTGGAAACCCCCACTCCCCAACTCCAGGAATATGGGGGCAGTAGATTCACCGTCCAGCCCGCTCTGGCTCCAGCCCCGCCCGGGCCGCCAGAGACCCCTGTCAATCAAAGATCCTCAGCCCTCACTGGGCGTCCCGCCGACACCTGCCAGCCCCGCCCCTGCCCTCCTTTATGTCCACCCCATTTCTTTTTCACTTATTTCCCCTTCTCTTGCCCAGGGATTCCCTCTCTTCATTTCTTTAACTTACTGGGTGTTTTGTTTGACCACCTGTGGTTCTTGGCTGTGAACAGCACAGACAAGATCTTTTGAAACTCACATTCTGAAGGCAGCACTGAGTTGATTTCAGACAGTGAGATGTTCAGAGTGGAGGCACGAGGCCTGCCTGCCCTGGGGCAGCCTGTAAAGGCCATTTCGATTGAGTGACAGTTTATTTCATGCGTCAACTTAGCGAGGCTACAGTGACCAGTCGTTTGGGCAAAAGGCAATCCAAACGCTGCAATCAAGGTATTTTTTAGAGGCAATTCTCACCTAGCCAGTTGATTTTAAAAGCTGGTTACCCTGGATAATGTGGGTGGGCTTCATCTAATCAGTTGAAGGGCCGGAGAGCAAAAGATCGGGTTTTCTGAGGAAGAAAGAATTAGAGATGGCGGCGTAGAAATTCTGCCTGAATTTCTAGTCTTCAGACTCCAGCCATCATCATCATTTGGCTTGACCAGCCTTCTTGGATTAAGTACATGACAAAGAGGAGCCAGCCTGGGGATCTGGGAAAGACTCTTTGGGCAGAAGGACCAGGGAAAAGGCCCCGAGATGCCTGGGCAACGTTAATAAGGGTGCACCGGCTTCAAGATAGTGAAGACTGCTTAGTGTCTCTGTTCTAAGCTCGGGATGGCAGACTTTCCGATAAAGCGCCAGATAGTCAATGTTTGAGGCTTGCAGGGCCAAGAGATAAAATCAAGGACATTAGGAAGGTCAAGAGAGGACACTTCTGCCCTGCCGTGCCCAGTTCGCTTGGGACTGGCCATCCCGGGGGTTGGGTGTGCTTCGTGCCCAGCTGCCAGAGACATTCTCTGGATGGACAGTGATCCACCTGATGGGGAGGGGCTTGAAGTCCAGGCAGGTGGAGGAGGTGAGGGGTGATACCCAGATGCCAGCCAGCCGCCGTTCTCCCCCGAGCCCCAGCTGTCTTACCTGGATTAGCTGGCCAGAGGCAAGGCTACTAGCTGAGTCACCAACCCTCTGAAGGAGAATCATCCACCCAGTGGCCTGGCAGTCGCCAGCAGAGAACATTGCAATGTGTAGGTGGCGGCCAGCATGATCAGCACAGGGCATGGACAGCAATGAGGCATTGACTGTGGTCACTGGGAGGTGGACACTGGGAGCCAGTGGGGAACAAGAACAGAGGAGGACGCCCCAGCTGGCTCCCTACAGCCCACTAAAGGGCTAGCCCCTGAGGGCGGCTGCCGTGGCTGTGCAATTATTTGACTCACAGTCCATAATCTGCTGACCCTTGCAAGGTCAGTGGCAAGCCACCACATGGTTTTAACCAGGAAAGCATTGACACTGACTTACATGTTTAAAAAGCTGACACCAGCAATTACAATCCTAGGCATATGCCCAAAGGAATTGAAACCTGGTACCCAGACAAGTATATGTGCACACATGCTCATAGCAGCATTTTTCTCCATAACCAAAGGGGGCAAACAACTTAAATATCCATCAATGTGTAAGTGGAAAAGCAAAATGTGGTCCAACCCAAATGGGACGTCCCTCAGCCACAGAAGGGAATGATGCCCGGACATACAAGGTGAATGAACCCTGAAAACAATGCTCAGTGAGGGAAGCTGGATACAAAGGCCACACAGTGTATGATTCCAGTTTTATGAAATATCCAGGACACGTAAATCCACAGAGCTGACTGGTGGTTGCTGGCGGCTGGGGGCAACTGGGGAATGGGAAGTGACCACTTAATGGCTATGGAGTCCTTTGGGGAGCATTGAAAGTGTTTTGGAATTAGATGGAACTGCACAACATTGTAAATGTACCAAATGCCTCTGAGTTGCTCACTTTATAATGGTTGGCTTTCTGGTATATGACTTTTGGCTCAATAAAATAAATATAAATAAATAAGTGAGCTCAAGCCAGCGAGAGGCTACAGCATGAATTATAAGGTCGCAAGAGGTTAACGCAGGACATTGAGGTGGGAAGCTACTGCAGCAGTCCAAGAAAGAATGGTTAGTCTGTTCGGGTTGCTATAACAAGATGCCCTCGACAGGGTGGCTTAAATAACAAGCCATTCATTTCTCCCCGTTCTGGAGGCTGGAAAGGCCAGCTTGGTCAGGTTCTGGTGAGAGCCCCCTTCCTCTGGTGACAGCTTGCGGACAGCTACCTTCTCAGTGTGGCCTCAGATGGCAGAGAGGTCATTTCATTCATGACTCATCTTAGAAAGACACTTACCCCGTCTGTGAGGGCTCCACCCTGATGGCCCAGTCACCCCCCAAGACCTCACCTCTGAATACCACCACTGTGGGGATGAGGGCCTCAGCACATGGCCTGGGGGTGGGGCACAGACGTGCAGTCCACGGCACTTAGCTAGGCGGTCAGCAGTGGGATGGAAACAGGTGGCTGGATCTGAGGTCTGGCCTGGAGGATGAACTGACCAGGCTTGCTGAAGAGTGGAATGTGAGGGACAAGACAGACGGGGGATCCGGAATGACTCTCAGGCTTGGGCTTGGTTAACAAGCTGGACAGTGTTCCAGTTAAAACTTGAATGCATGCACACACACGTATGTACTTATACACATACACACGTACATGTATGCACATGCCTACGTGCGCGCACACACACGTATACACATACATGCACACACAGTCACATGCACACACCCGAAAACCATTCTTGTATTTCCCACTACTCTTCTCTAAAACACTATACAATTGGCCCTTGAACAACACAGGCTGAACTGCATAGGTCCACTGACACACCAATTTTTTTTCAATAAATATATATTATACATTTTTTTGGAGATTTTTAACAATTGGAAAAACATTTTCTTTTTGCTAGCTTACATTATTGTAGGAATACAGTAAATAATGCATTGAACACACAAAATATGACTTTTTGGTAAGGTTTCCGGTCAACAGTATACAGTTACCTGTTAAGTTCTGTGGAGTTAAAAGTAGTTACATGTGGACTTTCAGTTGTGCTGGGGGTCAGTGCCCCTAGCTCCTGTGTGGTTCAGGGCCGAGTGTACAGCATTTTCTTGTCTATCAGCTCACTGTGTTTCTCACCCCGCTAGAATAGGCGCTTCATGAGACCAGGGACCTTTGTCTCCCTTGTTCATGGCTGTGCTCTCAAACCCAGAACGGCGCCCTGCACACAGGAGATGCTCCATGAATATTTGGCCACTGAGTGAATGAAGGGGCAATGGTGGAAAGCTGGGGCCTCCCCCCTCAACCCCCATCTGAGCCATTCCTTCAGATGCCCCTGGAAAGTGGGACAGGCTGAAGGAGTGAGAGTGATATGGGGCCGGGCTGGGGGTGGGGTGGGGGGGACAGGAAGAAGAGGAGGGCGCGTGGGGAAAGGGGAGGGGCTGAACCCCAGCTCTAAAGGCAGCCTGGCTGCGGGTGCCTGTCTGCACTGTGTGAAGCCCGGCAGCATTGGGCAATTCTGGCTTCCTCCCTACCGGGTGCCAGCCCAGTCCCACGCGTCCCGGGGTTTCGTCCACACAGACATGGAGGAGACGGTCGTGCGGCCCTCAGTGTTTGTGGTGGATGGACAGACGGACATCCCATTCACCCGGCTGGGTCGCCACCGCCAGAAACAGCCCTGCAGCGCTGCACGGCTGGGCCTGGGTCTCCTACTGCTGCTGGCGGCTGGGCTGGCTGTCCAGGGCTGGTTCCTGCTGAGGCTGCACTGGCGCCTGGGGGAGATAGTGGCCCCCCTGCCGGTGAGTAGGGCCCAGGACTCCTGGAGGGGGGGATTCTCCTGTGTGACTGTGTGTCTCTGTGTGCCTGTGTGTGCAGAACAGGGGAGGGACTCAGAGCAGCCCAGGCCAAGTTACTGCAGTTTCCCTATCTGTAAAATGGGCATAATAACAAGAGTGCCCGCCTCACAGGGAATAAAACAATACCGTGTGTGGGGTGCACAGTGGCGGCTGGCCCAAGACAAGCATTCGAGCAGCTGAAGTCAACCTTATCTTTTTTTAATTGAGGTGTAATTGATTTATAACACTGTGTAGGCTTAAGGTGTACAGCACATTGATTCGCCACATTTATTGCCATACACTTGCCACACCATTGTAGCGTTAGTGAACACCTCCACAGTGTCACATAATCATCGCTTCTTCTAGTGGTGGGGACAATAAAATGTAGTCTCTAAATTCAATGGTTATATTGCAGTTTGTGACATCCACAACCACCGTTCTGACGCTGCTGACTGTTATTAGCTGTGCCCTGGTCTCCACCATCAGGATTATCACTTACCTATTCTGTCTGAGTCCTCAAGAGCGTCTCTCCGCATCTGTTTCCCATTGTCCATGGATATGTGTATCTGTCTGTCACATCTGTTGGTCTGTGGGTCCCATGCCACGCCCATGTGCTCTTGGCCTTTCATGTCCTGTATGTCCAGGTCCCTTCTCTGGATCTCACGGCCACATGGGCCTGCCGGCCTGTCCTGCTGCCCTGGGTACATGCATTCCCATGGCCACATACTTGTCTGCAGCCTGTGGGCTGATGTTGCATATCTGCTTCAGGGTCTCTGTCTGCAGACCCACATGGTTCCACAAATCCTGCATCCGTGTGTCTGCATCCATGTGTGTCTTGTCAGTGTCCAGGTCTGTGCCCCACGTCATGTGTCCATATCCATGTATTGGCATTTATGACCACATGTCCAGCTGTTCAGATATCTATGTATCTTTAATATCCCTTATTTAATGAATGCTTATATAATGCTTACAATGTACCAGGCACCGTGATACACTTTTCACATAGGAGCTCACTGAGACCTGAGCAGGTACTATTCATATGCCCATTTACGGAGGGGGAAACTGAGGCAGTGGGTGGTTATGAAGATGCTGCGTGAGGGGCATGCGCACGTGGCCCTGGGTTCATGCCCATGGGCTGTGTGTGCCTCACAGTCATGCATCTGAGTCATGCAGGGTGTGGGCCCTGCAGGTTCTCACCGTGGGCAACACTGCATTTTCAGGAACGAGATGCGACATCCTGGGAGCAGCTGGTGCAAGGTGAGTCAGGGTCCCGGTCCCCAGGAGGGGTGGTATGGTTCCCACGCGACCTGCGCTCCTTCAGCCCATTGCCCAATGCGGTTTGCACAATGGCCCAGAGTTCTGCAGATGCCCCTCCCTCCCGGGCCTGAGAAGCAGAAGTTTGGGCCACTCCGGAAAGGGCTGGGCTGATGCCCCCTCGGGAGGCTGGCTCTTGCCCGCACTGCCTTCCCTCCTGACCTCTGGCCCTCTCTCTCCAGGGTGGAGGTCCCACCAAGTCAACCCAGCAGCACACCTCACAGGTGAGGGGGACCCAGGGACCTGGCACGGGGTGGGGGTCAGGGCATCCTGGAGAGACCAGGCAGGCGCCTGCATGTCAGAGTATTCATGGCAGATGCGGAGTGCCCAGAACGCACGCAGTGCCAGGGTCGCTTCATACGTATGAATTCATTTGATCCTGAACAGGGGCTATTTGTATGTCCATTTTACAGACAGGGAAACTGAGGCACACGGAGGTTCTAAGGTGACTGGACCAGGGTGCGTTCCTCCTGTGTGGCTTGGTTCCACCATTTGCATGTTTTGATGCTTTTTGGCAAGTCCGTGAATAGCCCCATGGCTCCATTTTCCCACCTGCAAAGTGAAGATAAAGTGAATTCATACATATAAAACTCACAGACAGCCTAGCACAGTTTGGGGGCCCAAAGCAGGTTGGTGACTGGCCTAGGGTCACACAGCAAGAGAAGGACCTGCACTGACTAGCCCCCTTTGTCTTCCTCCCCAGGGGCCAACTCCAGCCTGACGGGCAGCGGGGGCCCCCTGCTCTGGGAGACAAAGCTGGGCCTGGCCTTCCTGAGGGGCCTCAGCTACCAAAACGGCGCTCTCGTGATCTCTAGGACCGGCTACTATTACATCTATTCCAAGGTGCAGCTGGGCGGCGTGGGCTGCCCACAGGGGCTGACGGGCGGTCTGCCTATCACCCACGGTCTCTACAAGCGCACACCCCGCTACCCGGAGGAGCTAGAGCTGCTGGTCAGCCGACGGTCGCCCTGCGGGAGGGCGGCCAGCCCCCGCGTCTGGTGGGACAGCAGTTTCCTGGGCGGGGTGGTCCACCTGGACGCTGGAGAGGAGGTGGTGGTCCGCGTGCCAGATGAGCGCCTGGTCCGACTCCGAGATGGCACACGGTCCTACTTCGGGGCCTTCATGGTGTAGAGGACAGAGTGATGGCGAATTGCATGCGGGTGAGAAAGAAACCTCACAGGGTGCCTCAAGAGACCAGACGCCACAGAAACAGACACCTTGGAGGGTGTCTCCGAAGCAGCAGGCAGAGCCCAGCGGGCACCCGTGGGGAAAAGGAGACTGCAGACCCCGCCACGGACAACACTGAACACGCAGACCCGGAGACTTGGGGGTCTGTAGGGCCCCTGAGCAGAGGGTAGCGCTGATCTGCCAGATATTCAGGATAAGGGGTTGGGGTGGGTATTTATGCTTTTGAGTCAAAGGAAAGGGGGACTTTGGGGTCCAGACACTTGGCTGAGGACTGGAAACATGCCTCTCCCTGACTCTCAGAGTGTGGGGTGCGGGAGACTCATTATCAGGACTCATGGGTGCGGAAAGCCCAGCCCAGCCACACCCATGGTCAGAGCCACATACTCAAGTCCCACTGAGGGACTTGTGGCCACACCTCAGCCTGCCATGAAACATTGGAGTTAGAGACGCAGGTTCAGGAATGTGCTGGTAAACATTTAACAGCCAGCTCCCCCAGGAGGGGGTAGGAATTGAAACGTCTGCCCATTTCCCTGGTGCAAATCCTCCCCCCGGGGCTGGCCGCCATCTCCCGTCCTGGGGAACACTCACATCCCACTGAGGACACCGCTAAGGCCAGACCTTGGCACCAGCCGGCACTTGGAAAAGACAAGAGAAGGAAGGAAGGGAAAAAAGGAGAAAGAAAGCAAGCCAGACATGCCTGCAGCATCACGGAGATAGCACCGCTCCACGATCTCACTCTTTACCCACCGCAGACTCACACACGGGAAGCACTGGCTTCTCGAACAAGCACACACAAGTTGTAGGCAGCATCATGAATGCTCAGTCACAGACACCGCATGACAGCCACAGGCGACACAATCACACACAAGTCATCATCCCCGCCACACCCACAGCGGCTGTACAGTCACCCCAGGTGTGACACATAGGCTGTGATGTTTGTCACATCAGGCTTCTCCATGTGGCATGACAGTCAGACCCATCACACATGGTCGCTCCTGGTTTGAGGTCCCTCCCATCCAAGACAAACACATCCTGGGGTGAGGGCAAGACCGTCTGTAGCCCTGGGTGTCCTGACCACTGGTCTTGGAAATAAATGGTAAAGGTTGCACCTGGGTCCACCTAGTTCTTAGAGAAGGGTGGCTTGGAGGCAGAGGGACAGATGGAATGACCCATGGAGGTCACTTTTCAGATGAGAAATCTGAGCCCCACTGGCCCAGCTCCATGAAGGAAGCTTGGGGGGAAGCCAGGCACCTCATGCCCACGTCTGCATCCCCCTCAAATCCCAGATTCCTGAGTAAGTGGAGCCTACATCCTGCCAAGCACCCTTCTTGCACGCATCCTGGATAGAGGGGCGGTCAACCCAGCCAGCTGGAAGCTTGGAGGAAGTGGGAGCACTGGAAGAGTGAGGGGAAGGGCAGGTAACAATATGCATACAAACCAGGTGGTCTGTGCAAATGCCCATGTGCCCTGGTGTGGCTGGAGGGAGCTTTGGTTCCCAGAACCCTAGGATGAGGGCTCAGACCCCAGAGGGGCATGAATTTTTATTGTAATTGTTGGTCATGTAGCTGTCATTATCGCTACCGTCGGGGAGGAAACGGGCTTTGTGATCAGACAGTCCTGGGTTCCAATCCCTCCCTGCCACATACTGGCGGTGGGACCTTGAGCCTCATCGCCTCTCAGTGCCTCAGTTGCCTCGCATGTAAAATGGGAGGTAACACCATTTCTTACCTCTTAGGTTTGTTTTGAGGATTAAACCACACTGAGCACAGAAAAAGCTGTTTGGTACACAGTAGGAGCTCTGTAAGTGTGTGAGTGCCAAACGTGATGAAAAAATATTAAGAATAGCATTTGTCAGGGACTTTCCCTAAGCCAGGCATCTCGTGTGAGTCACATCTTTATATACATACCTAGGCAGGAGTCATTGTTGGCCCCAGCTCCAGACGTAGGTACCAAGGCAGGGAGGTTGGCCTCCCCCTCCCGCCTACTGCGGGCACACCTCGCTTGCTGGGCTGGTGGAAGGTGGGACAGCCCCAAATGCCCTGCCCCAGCTCCCACCGGAGTTTCCTTTACCCTGATAACTGTCTTTCTGTTTCTGTGGCTTTGAGGGGGAGGCCGAGGTATGGGGACCACGTATTTAAAAAAGCTACGAGTAGCCACCAACTTCCGCCTGGGGATGGAACCTCTTGCTCAGGTTAGCCTCCAAGGAATATTCTTGGGGTGGGCCTCCTGGCCTTGAGGTGGAGGGCAGAGAGGAAGAAGGGAGGGAGGGTAGGAGTAGCGGGATGGAAAGACAGGGAGGGGAGAGAGAGATGGAGGCGAAGGGAAGGAGACGCAGACAGAACCCTGCAGGCTTAGAGGTGGTTCAGCAGGAGAGCGAGACCCACCTTGATTTCAGATAAAAGTGTAGGAGCAGGAAGCCCCTAGCCCAGGCCACTGACCTACTTTACAACTTCTGAGAATTTTTATCTACTCAATTTCCGCTTTTACCTTCTGTGCTCTGACATGTTTTCAGATTTTGCCCTCCCTGAAATGATCTCTTCCTCAAGATCCGAAGTCGGCCATCCTCACCCTCCCCCAGCCCCTGGAAAGCTAGCCCCTTTCTCTTCACCTCTTGCTGAGATGCAGATGTGTTAGAAGGAAAAACAACGATGAATCATTTTTGAATTTCATGTGCTGTGTGCCTCCTGCTACATATCACTGTATTCAAACAGTGAAATGCATCATCTCACAGGAACAGAATGGGTCTTACACAGGAGCCAGCCCATCAGGGTTCAAATCCCCACTCTGCCACCTCCCAGCTGAGTGATCTTGGGATCCATACTTGGCTTCTCTGGGCCTCAGTTTCCTCATCTGTGAAACAAGACGGATAGTGGCTTCTACCTTGCCCTGATTATTGTGAGGCAAAATGACTTGGGTGTTTCAGTACTTTGTCAGAGCTTGGCCCACAGTGAGCTCTTCAGTCTTTAATAGGTATTCTTTTTGTAAGCATAGCTGTAATCACATACACATTTAAATTTCAGATTCTTTTTAGTTACCACATTGAAGATGACCTTACATCTATAGGCCATAGCTAGCCACTGGAGGTGTTTTTGAAGTGGAAATTAGCAGCAAATACTTAAACATTACAAAACTTTGCATGTGGACAAAATCCAGATTTTTTTTTCCTTGTGAGGTTGGAAACTGTGACCATAACCCAGGTTGGGTAGTGGCTCACCAGCTCACCATCATCTCCACTACTCCTGGAGGTGGCTGAGATGACGGCAGGTTGCAAGGAAGTGGGATTTCAGACTCGTATTCATTTCTTATTGCTGCTTAAAATAATACTAATTTATTATTTTACAGTTCTGGAAGTCAGAAGTCATCTACTTATATGAGTCTTATGGGACTAAAATCAAAGTGTCAGCAGGGCTGCATTCCTTCTGGGGGTTTTGTCCCCAAATCCGGTTCTTGGGGTCAACCTCTGTGGGAATCCAAACTAAGATTCATGAGCATAAACTAAGCCCCAAAGTAAGGCAAACTAGGCATATGTGAATCTCAGCTCACCAGGAGTGCAAATATTTTAAACTTTCCTTCTATTCATAATGTAACATAATTTTGCAAAGATCCCTTTGCACCAGGATGCTTAAGAACTTGCTATCAGTCAATTGGAAACCATCCCTCCCCACAAGCTCCTTTCCCAAGACTGTCAAAATTCCAGAGAGTTTAGGAAACGCTGAGGCGTTAAGGGTGAGCGAGGGAATCTGTCTGATTCTCAAGCGCCACGTCCACGTGGGTGCCCATCATCGGTCTGCTTCTCATTCATCATCCTTCATTTTTTGTACTCGGGACCTATCAGGAGTGGTGCGTTCTCTGCACCAGCGAGCCTTGCTTATGAGGCTGATATTCAGCCAGGTTAAGGCACCGGAAACTCTTTGAAGCTATCTGTGGCTTCAACTGCCCAGAGACACCATTGAGTCATTTCCTTTTGGGGGACCTGCAGCCTCTCTGGGCTCTGCAATGGAGACAGGACTCAAGCCTCTTCTAGTTTTCAGTCCTCCCAGAAATTCTCTGGGGAACATTCTGTGTTTTCAGGATTCTTTTTTCCAAAAATTGGGGCCCAGGAACTTCCCCCCATTATGGGTACTGAATTGTATCACCCCCTGCAAAATCATGTTGAAGTACTAGCCCCCAAGACCTCAGAATGGAGTTGTATGTGGAAATAGAGAATTTAAAGAGGAAATTAAGGTAAAATGAGGTCATTAGGGTGCCCCATAATTCAATATATCTGGTGTCCTTATAAAAAGAGGCAATTAGGACACAGACACACACAGAGGGACAAGATGGCCATGTACACACTCAGGGGAGAGGCTGCAGAAGGAGCTGGCACTGCCAGCACCTGGGCCTCAGTCCAGTGAAACTGACTGGGGACCCCGTCCTCCAGAACTGTAAGCTGATAGACTTCTGCTGTCGTGAGCCTCTACATCTGCAGTGATTTGTTACAGCAGCAAGAACTAACGCATACGGGTGGGGGGGGGACCTGATGGGTGCTGCACGGCAGCCGGAATAGTCTGCTCCTTATGCCTCTGGGTTTTCTCTTCTTTATAAAGAGGTTAGCTGCATTTGGGGACAGCTACTGCAGAAGTCTTGATCTCTATTCTAACCAGAAAAAGAAAGTGGATGGCGTGAACCACAGCTTCCCCTGCTGCTGCTGAATCCATCCCCTCAACGGGCGCTCACCACCTTCTGCTGCCCGCTGCCCACCTGAGCTTCCCGCCCCTCAGCCGGCACTCTGTTGGTTAGATTGCTCACCCAGCGGCGACCCAGTTCCTCGTCCCTGAGGAGTCCGAGACCCTGGCCACCATGCCCTCGGACCTTCTGCCATTCCACTCTGAGACAACACTGCATTCGGTGTGCTACCTTGCTCGGTGAGGGCTGTGAAGGGGATCGATGTCAGAGGCTTCCACTCATCCTTATCCACAGAAAAAGCTTACAGACACACCTGACATTCTCAGCAATTACCAAGTGTCAAGTGCTAGACATGTGTCATCTCTCTAAATCCTCACAACCCCCCTATGATGTCAAACCTGTCAGTGTCCTGTGACTACAGAAGAGGAAACTGAGGCACGGGAAAGTGAAGCACCTGGCCCAAGGTCCCTTACCGAGGAAGGGATGGAGCCTTCCGTTCCCAGAGCCCATACTCTCAGTCATTCTCCTAAACTTACCAGGGAGTACTGAAGCTCTATGCATAGATACCATTGTATTATCCACTTCCCTACCAATGGACACATAGGTCTTATCATACACGATGCTGTGAGGAATATCCTCACGCATGTCTTTTTGTGCAGGGGGACCCCTCTCTCAGGTCCTGGGTGCCCTCGTAGGAGAGTTGGAAGGAAGCTTCTGAGCCTGTGGGTGCTGACCTACATCTCGGGACCTCAAATCCGAGACTTCCGAATGGATCTGGATGGCTCACCCAGTGGGTGGCCCAGCTCCTCGTCCCTGAGGAGAGTCTGTACCCCCGGACTTTCTCCTCCATGCTCCACCCTCCCTGCCACTTCAGGACGTTTTCACCCAAAACTTGGCCCTGAGGACTGACTTACCACCCCAGGGCTCTCCTATGGCATCTTGGTCAAATCCCTTTACCTCATTGAGTCTTTTTCCCCAGCTGTACAATACAGAGGAAAAAACCAGTTCCTCTCTTTCTAAGTCGTTGGGAAGAGTCGATGATAGGCAAGGAGGGATAATAATTTTGAAATAATAATATAAGATCTTTTGCCTTCCCTTCTTCTGATCTGCATCTCCACTCTGGCCATTAATGACTTTAGACATTGACTTAACCTCTCTGCCTCAGTTTCCTCATCTGTAAAATAGGGATACTAATATCCCTACTACCTCTCCATCATAAGACAACCCCCCTCCCAATAGTTGGGCTTGGTTAAAACATGCCAAGTGCTTAGGTGAGCAATTCCTGGATGTTTGATAAATATTGGCCATTGTTGCGGGTATTATTATTATTTATGCTCCCTGTCCACTTACCTGTTCAAATAGTTGGCTTGGTATGTTCATTCCTTCCCAAGAGAGATGGTGGAAAGCAGGAATGACCAGTGAATGTGCTCCTGGCATTGAT